ATATGTGAATGGATTTGAATTTTCAATAATTTGAAAATGCTAAGACACTTTCACTATTGATTTATCATGTAGCTGACATGGCAGTGAACTTCAACTGACTTTACAAATTGTGATATAAAGAAAATGATTCTCTATATAGAAGAGTTTGATCATGCAAACGTACAAATCAAAAGGGGCAGTAGGCCAATTTGTCACTTGACCCATTTTTGTTTATTTACTCAAGGGATGTGAGCATCACTGGTTCAGTCAGAATTTATAGTACATCACTAATTGCTCTTAAGAAGCTAGAGTGGGCTGCTATTATGAATTTTTAAAATCCTTGGGGTGTAGGGACACCCACAATGCTGTTAGGAAGGGAATTTCAAGATTTTGACCCCGCAGCATTGAACAGGGATGTAGTTCCTAGTCAGAATGGTGTGGGGTTTGGAGGGAACTTGCAGAATCCGGCTTTCCAATATACTTGTGTCATTTGCCTTGCCAGACAGTAGAAGCCGTAGGTTTGGAAGGTGCTGTCTAAAGAGCTTTGGTGAATTTATTGAAGATACTTTGGTATAGATGGTACATAATGTTGGCATTGTGCATCTGTGTTGAAGGGAGTGAATGTTAAACATGCAAAATAGGAATAAAAGTAGACTATTCAGTCCTTCAACCGAGCTTGCCATTCAATAGTATCATGACTGATCTGTTTGTGTTTCAAATTCTGCATTCCAATTCACTCCTGGTAAACTTTGATTCCCTTGCTTTAAAGAACTTGTCTATTTCTTGCCTTAAATATATTGAAGGATCCCATTTTTACCACCTTTTGATGCAACAGATTCTAAAGTTGCACAGTCCTCCTAGAGAAAAAATCTCTTCTCATCTCTGCCCCAAAAACTGATTGATAGAGTGTCAAACGGTGTTGAGATTCTTGGGAGGTTTCTCCCCAAAAATCCTAGCAAGTTTTTTTACAGTATCATCCAAAACTCAACTGTAGTGCCCCTCTTAACTGATGCTAGCCTGATTCAACCACTGTCAGTGGCCAGAGGTACTCACCACTGCCTGGATATGCCGGGTTGGAATGCCATCCCTGTCAAAGGCACCACATTTGCACACTCAGACTACCACTGACAGTCTGGGGCTGTCCTGCAGGGTTCATATTATTTGACCCAGATATGGCAGTGGAGGGACATTTTGGTGCCCCAATTTGTGGACAGAAATCTAGAATTCCTTATGCATAGGGTACTGCAGGGGAGGGCCATACTCTTCCCCCAGGATCACTAGAGGAAGCCATGACACCAGACCCTGAGAGCCTGGTCAGATATTGTTGTCTGAGAGAGTGTTGGAGTCTCAGTCATTTGGAGGCATGCCCAGCAGCATATGAAGAAGGTCAATCACCTTCTCAGAATCATCAGGGTTTGTGCCACTATCTGCTCTCTGCTACTTCATACTATATCTCTGTTGCTGTACTCACCTCCCACCAGGTCCTACGCTCACTCTTGCATACATAATTTATCTCCACTCGCTTTCACCCACCACAAAGCCCACATTACCAACCCTGTATGGCTTCAGTACTGCCTACTTATTTGCTCCATTCCACACCTACACCAGCACTAATAGCTATGTCAGCCACTTTCATCTCACTTAGTCCCTCCCTTTGTCTAATTCCAGGAGAAATTGGCCCACAGTTGGGTGGAGAGAATCAAGATGGATGGTGGTATGCCCTTACCCTCTATAAAAAACATAATTCTAGCTCCGGATCAGGTGATACTGGGACCACTCCTGTGGAGATGCAGAAACCTCCATGACGTGGCAACCAAATAAGAAGCATTGTCCGTTGCTGCACCTCTCTATTATTACCAAATCCCCACTAAGCTTCTAGCCATGGAAACGTATTATTAACATGTCTGAACTTCTTTGTCTCTCTCTTCTTTCTTTGTCTCCTGCACGTTCCTGTGGAACCATCATGGTGTTGGCATCCAAGTGGCTGGTCCCACAGGATTTTCCCTCTAACATTTCTTATGAACAAAGAACAGATGACTCAGAAGTAGCACTGCCAAGGCTGTCTCCCATGCCCTTCACTAGGTCAGATACTGACACCTTTAATTAGGTTAGAGTTTGGAATGGCTGCTGCTGATTATATTGCTGGTATGTCCCTTATCCCCCTACATCCCTCAACTTCAGCCCATCATGTCATCATGTCGACGCTGGTCAACATATATCTATCTGTTTGAATCCCATTTTCCAGGATTTGGTCCATAGCCTTGTAGGCCATGGCATTGCAAATGCTCATCTAAATCATTCTTAAAGTCTTGAGCATTCGCATCTCGACCATCCTTTTAGGAAGTGACTTCCAGATACCCATAAGTCTCTCAGTAAATATATGTTTCTTCAAATCTGGTCTGCTCCTTAAGTTAAAACTGTGTTCCCTCATTATTGATCCCTCTAATAAGGGGAAGGTCTCTCTCTACACCCCTCAGAACTTTGTACACCTCAATCAGATACCACCTCAGCCTCTTGTGCTCTAAAGAAAACAACTCCTATCCAGTATCTCTTCATAGCTTAATCATTCCAGCTCTGGCAACATCCTGGTGAATCTCTTCTGCACCCTCTCGAGTACAATCACATCATTCTTGTGGTGTAGTGACTAGAATTGCACACAGTACACCAGTCGCAGCTTAAATAACATTTTATATAACTTCATCATAACTTTCTTGCTTTTGTATTTAATGCCTTGACTAATGAAGGCAAGTATGCCATACACCTTCTCAGCCACCTTATCTATCTGTCCTGCTGCCTTCAAGGATCATCCAACATGCACACTAAAGTCTCTCTTGATTCTCTTTAGCTCCTAAGGTACAAGCATTCAACATGTACTCCGTTATCTTGTTAGTCCTCCCAAACACAACATCTCACATTTTTCAGGATTAAATTCTATTTGCCCTCGTATAGCCCATCTGACCAGGCCATCTATATCTGTTACAAATCTCTTCACAGTATTCCAGCCATGTTCTGACTACTGCCTTATGTAAAAGCAAAACACTGCAGATATCAGAAATCTGAAACAAACACAGACAATATTGAGAAATTCAGCAGGACTTGCACAATCTGTGGAGAGTTAACATCACAAATCCTGTATGACTTTTGGTCAGAACTGAAAAGTATTGGAAATTTTTTAATACGTTTGACAAGAGGCAGAGGAGGAGCAAGGGGCAGATGGTGTAGAGGCCCAGTGCAAAAGACAAAGGAATTGTTGATGTTGCCGATAGCAACAAGGAGGTGTAAAATGGATATAAATTAATGTTTGAAAGTGAAGAAATTGGTCTTCTCTACTAAGAGCAAAGTAAACAAGACACAAACAATAAAGTGTAAGAAAAATGGAGAATTGACATAATATGATTAGTTTCTGAAGTTATAGAATTCAATGTTGAGACCTCAAGGCTGTAAAGTGACAAAGCAGATAATGAGGTGTTGTTCCTCAAACTCATGTCATGCCTCATTAGAACAATGCAGCAGGCCCAGGTCAGAAATGTTAGTATGACAGCAAGGTGATTTGTTGAAATGGTAAGCAACCGGTAGGTCGGGGTTATTCCTACTGTCAGAACAGAGGTGTTCTGCAAAGCAGTCACCCAATCTGCATTTGGTCTCACATTTTTCAGGATTAAATTCTATTTGCCCTCGTATAGCCCATCTGACCAGGCCATCTATATCTGTTACAAATCTCTTCACAGTATTCCAGCCATGTTCTGACTACTGCCTTATGTAAAAGCAAAACACTGCAGATATCAGAAATCTGAAACAAACACAGACAATATTGGAGAAATTCAGCAGGACTTGCACAATCTGTGGAGAGTTAACATCACAAATCCTGTATGACTTTTGGTCAGAACTGAAAAGTAAAGGAGATCTTTCAGCTGAAACCAGTCCCAATCAGTCTCCCGACTTGTCCTGGTCAAAATCTATTTCTCCCACACCAATGTGTGAACCACACACTGAACTCTTTAATCTTATTTACCCTACTTTGATTTGTTCATGGCTTAAGTTACAATCCAGTGATTGTTATTGTTGAAGTTTTGATTTTTAACTAGACCCTGGTTGCTCATACTCCCTCAGCAGATCCTCTTACCTAGTTCTACCTATACTGTTGTTACATTCACAAACCACGACAGCCATATCACCCTCTTCACAATCAAAGTTCCTCTCCAGTCCAGAACAGGTGTTCTGATCCCTGGGATTAGGCAGGCAACATAACAGTTTCTCATTCCTTTCTGCAGAGCAGTATGTTCATTCCCCATCTATACGATCGACGTCTACTGGATTTCTGTCAACTTCACTCACTGGAAACAGTTTTGCGTACCCCAGTCAGTTTGCCCATCCACACTGCAGATCAAGCCTGATCCATACAAGTTGTAAAACTATTGCATAACCTGAGGCTCCTGCTTTCTCGATTCCATTACTTGCCTCACTTGTAGTCATTACTTCCTATTCTTGATCATGCAGCAAATTAGAAGACCTCAATCTAAAGGGTAACCCTTTCCCTCCCTGATGTATCGCAATGTTTGTAACTCCACAACAGTCCTCCCGTTGCAGAGGCAATGCAGACATTTAACTGTGGCTTACACAGGAGTCCAAGAGTTCCCACAATCTACAGCCACAACACACCGACTGCCATGCTACCTTTATGTGTTACTTAATTTATTTTTCATTATTAATAAATTAATATTCATAATACTTCAAACCTTCATCACTCACATCACTAAACAAGAAATATACTTAAAAATACAGACTTATCACAGTTTGTATACAATAGGGAATTTGTTCATATTAAGTTATCCATGTGGCTGCAAATATCTGATACAAAGGATTTTCTGAGAGGATATCTAATTAAAGTGCACCTTGATTTATTTTTTAGGCAGCTTTGTGATAAAGCTCTATAAACTCAATTGATATTTTTGTGCTTGAATGTTGAGTAAGAATTTCTAACTAAATCATTGCTAGTGAAAAGGCAAACTTCAACTTCTTACCTTTGATGCAGCATCGAAGCATACAAAACCCATATTGAAGTCTATTGTCAGTCCCATGAGGTGACTCTCCAGCACACAAGCATAAGTCTTACACTGAAAGAGTAGGAAACAAAGTATTGCATATACTGTACAGCTTCTGGTCACAGAGTTTGTACTGAAACACATAATAAAAAAATCTGATGATCAACAAAAGAAACACAGTCAGACTGACATATATTTGAGGTCATCATGCCAGATATTATTTGAATTGTCAGTAGATGATATGGAGGCCATTTGTTACAAGTTAATGCATCCTCTCAGTAAGGTCTCCACTGCAGCATCTAACTATTTCTTAAATGTTTAAGGGGTGTTTATTTTCACCGGTCTAGAAGTCTACTCTATATGTTGTGCAGTCTTTGTGGGGGAAAAAGATTTTCTAACAGGAAGCTTATCTTTTACAAGTTTGAACTTGTGCTCCTTATACCCACCTTGCAATTTCTCATAATAACTTTTCTATTCTCTTAATTATCTTAAGACCTTCTCTCCAATGTCCTCTGACATAATGGAAGAAAACTGTTGGACTAGGATGGATGTCAAAGCAATACACAAAGCATTTGACAGGCTAGCTGTACTTGAAGTTGATGACATGAATGGATAAGAAGCATCCAACTCTACTGTAAGATGTGGAAATTATAGAGGGATTGGCTATATCCTCACAATCCTCATTAGATACGGGCACAAATTGAATAGAATGCAGAACTGTCAATGTTACAACCTTCTTCAGAAAAAATTGGTGGCTGGATAAACCCAGCAACAATATGTCAGTCTATTTAAACATTATTGCGTGAAAGCTTTTAGAAATGACAACTTGGAATAAAATTAATAGTCACTTGGTCAAACATGGGTTAGTTAAGGACAACCAGCACTGCTTTGTTAAAGTCAAATTGAAGGAATTGGTGAGGATTATGAGGTTAAAGGGGCATATATGTCTGTAGGGATTGTATCTTAGCCTTTTGGCTAAGATGTTGGAGGTTGAGCTGAGCTGCTATTGGTGGATTTTATGCAGGCTTCAGCCTAATGTCAGTTCAGTGTGTGGCCAACCACAGCTGTGACCTCAGCAAATGCCTAAGCCCCAGGCAAGGCTGTTTGGAACATAGTCAGGGTGACTGTGGCAGAAGGAACGCAGTCAGTCAGAAACAAAAATAGAAATTTCTGGAAAAGTTCAGCAGGAGAGAAGTCAGAGTTAACGTTTTGGGTCGAGTGACCTTTCCTCAGAACGACTGGAACTTCTTCGTGAAGAGGATCCTCCTGGGTTGCTGTGGGTTCCAAGAAGTGGATGAATAAAGTGTATTTTTGCAAAATAAAATTTCTGTCTGTACAATTTCATTCAGGGTATTTCAATGTGTATTCCACAGCGTGAAGCAATTTGAATGTCACATGAAGGTATTTGAGGAGAAAGGATGAGGGGCAGTTGGCAGCATGAATCTTCATTGTCCAAGTGGAGAGCAGCTGGGTTGTTACAGTCCATATATATAACCCCCACAGTTGGGCAGCAAATACCCTGATCTTCCTGGGAGGTACATACAGCTTGAAGGAGGTAGCACTGATGTAGTGAGATAACAAGGTGCAGAGCTGGATGAACACAGCAGGCCAAGCAGC